GTGTGTGTGACGAAGATCCCGAGAGGAGAATGCCCGAGAAGGGGTTGTGGTGTGGCCATCCCCCCAGGGGGGGTGATTTCTTGCTTTCTGTCTCTCTGTCTCTCTCTCTATCATTCTGGCGAGCGCATGTGCCCTATAGCAAAAACCTTTCCAAAAAAAATTTTTTTTTAATTTCCCTTTTAAACTACCAACCTTATCAGTGACACTATTTCCTGTTACACCTCCTATAAATTTGTAAATTTTAATGGTATTGCCAGGAACCAGCTTCCAAAATAGATTATGAAAATACAAATTTATTAATTTTATCAATTTCCTTTTTTTAGAGAGATTTTTTGCTATACAGTGAGTGAGCTCACTAGAGAGACAGAGAGACAGAGACAGAAAGTGAGAAATCATCCCCATATCACAATTTCTTCTCCATTCTCCTTTTGGGATCTCTGGCATGTGCCCGGTGTGATTTTAAGCCTCTGGGTCTGGGACTTGAACCGTGGTTGGCTACATGGTAGTCCAGTGATATAACCATTATCCCATCTGTTGGTCCCAAATTTTATCAATTTTCTTTTAAAACATTGTTTCTAATTACTGCTTTTAAAAATCTTTAGTAATTTCCCTCCTATTTCTAATTAATTTTGTTCATCTTTTTTTTTTCTTTCACTAGAGGGGAAAGTGCACTTGCCAGGGAGAGTCAGAGACAGAAGAAAACGCCCCTTCCCATAGGAAATGGTCACATTGCAATCCCTTCTCTTCCATTGCTTCTTCCCTTTCAGCTTTTGGGCACATGCACACACACTGGCATGTTTTTCAAGTCACACAGGTCCAAGAGTCTGACCGTGTAGTCAGCCGTGTGGAATCTGACTGCCTTAACCACTAGGCTTTGAAGCCAGCCCTTGGTCTTCATTTCTACCATCTCGAAATAAATATTTAGTTAATTTAAATCCTCAGTTAATTTTCATTCTTTCTTATTTTCTTCTTTGAAGTTTTAAAAATATTTTTATTTAATTTTATTAGTATGTTAAAATTTGCTATAGGGCACATGTGCTCACCAGAGACAGAGAGAGAGTGAAAGGGAGAACATGAGCAGCCAGGTTTGGGACTTGATCTGCAGGGGGCCACGTGAGAGTCCAGTGCCCCAACCACTACACCTCCTGCTGAGCCCTCTTCTGGAAAGTTTTTTCAATGCCATTACATCCTTTACTTTCCGTTCAGTTCTAGTGTGTTCTTTTACTTACTTTCGGACTCAAAGGTAATTTACAAAGTTAAAGTTTCTTCTTTCTTTTTATTTGTGGGAGTGGGGGGAAGCTATCTCTTAGCTATTAATTTTTTTTAATTCTACCATACCATCTTTACTTGTCCAAATTTAGCTCATTCCATGCTTAACCTACTCTTGTAAGTTAGTTCTTTCGAAATATCTTCTACCTTGCTGTCTCCCCTCCCTTCTCTAAATCTTTACATATATATATATATATCCTTTACATGTAGCTTTTTTGTTTAAAATAATTATTTAATTTTATTAGTTATTATTAATTTCATCAAAGAGGAAAGGAAAGTGAGAAAGGAAGCCTCCATGTCCAGGACTCCAATCATGGTCAATCATGTGAAGATCCAGTGTCTTAACCACCACACCACCTGTGGGCCCCAAATATGTAGTGCTTTTATATCTTTCTTTCTTCCTTTCCCTAACTCCACCCTCAGGCTATTTTAGTCAGACTTTAGAGATTTCAGTACTTGGGAATTTTCACAAAACTCCATTCAGCACAAGTATTGAGTTCCTATTCATGACATTTAGCACAAGGAATAACCTTAAATGAGAGAAAAATACTGGCCTTCAGCAAATTTAGCCTAGTGGGAGACATGACCAGAAACACATATTAAACATGCAAGTGGGCTTCAGGGCCTTGGTTTGATAGTAGATTGTATGTGCACTGGAAAACAAGGGGCCAAAACAAACAAATCTATTCCAAACAGTTCAAAGGAGGAAAAGGAAGAGAAGAAGCAGATTTAGGTACAACTTTATGGTAAATAGCTTAATAATTCAACCCACAATCATGTAGTCTTTGGTAAGGGGGAAAAACTGCAGATTTACCACTAAAATGGGGGCATTTAACCTACAGCTTTTTTTAAAAAAAGAGTTATTTAATTTTTTTTATTCATTCATTTATTTTGACAAGAGAGAGATGTAGAGAGAAAGAGAGGGGAAAGTGAGAAAGCAAGCCACCAGGTCCAGGAATGGAACCGTGGTTCACCATGTGGGAGTATCCAGCACCTTAACCACCACACCACCTGCTGGCTCCCAAACCTACAGCTTTTTAAAGAATTATTTTATTTAATTTTATTCATCATCATCATTATTATTTTAATTTGCCGAGAGATAGATACAGAGAGAGAGAGAGACAGAAAGTGAAAAAGCAAGCCACCAGGTCCAGGACTGGAACCACAGTTTACTATGTGGGAGTCTAGTGCACTTAACCACCAGGCCACCTGCTGGACCCTTAACTTATATCTTAAACAAATTCTCCCTGGGAACAACAGGTGGTGAGGTGAAGACGCTCGACTCCCACAAGACTTACTGAGGTTGGAGTCCCAGACATAGTGGCTAGCTTTTTCATTTAATCTCTCTCTCTCTCTCTCTCCCCGGAGAGCACATGTGCCCTATAGCAAACTTAAAACTAAAAACAAAAACAAGGGGCAGGCAGGTGGCCTGGTGGTTAAGGGCGCTGGACCCCCACATGGACGACTGCTGCCCTGGGCCTGGCGGCTTGTTTTCCCTTTCTTTTTCACTCGGTTCCTCTCTGGGCAAATTTAAATAAATAAGTAAATAAATTTAAATAAAAGAATTCTTTAAAAAAGAAAAAAAAATTCCGCGGGTACACAGGCCATCCTTAGTTTTAGAACAGAGCACGGCCAAATTTACTGACAGTAGACCCAGTTTTCCAGCTTATAGCCAGAAGACAGCTTGAGGCCTGCTCTCTCCGGTTCCTACCCTCGGGGATGGCCCCTGGTTTCCGCACCGTCTATCACGGTCCTCAGGCCCCGCCCCTAAAGGGAGAGGTAGCCATCCACCCTCGCGCCCGCCAGGCAGGGACTCAGACGTCGGCCCCGCAAAGGATTGAGGGAAAAAGCATCTGGCCAATCTATAGTGTGGGAGGGGCCGCAGGTGAGGAAGATAAAAAAGTTTCTCTGATTGACGTGAGAAAAGCCCAATGAAAACAAAAGACTGGTGAAGCCTCCGCCCTGATAGGCAGAACCTCGGCGATTTCTCACCAATCCAGCTTAGAAGTCTATGTTGTGGGAGGCCCTTGAGGCCGCAGAGGTCGTTCGCGACTGTTGAACGCTCGTGGAAGCGGTGCTGCTCGGGGTAGAGGGTTAAAGTCGTTCAGAGGGAACGTCTCTGTCCGAAGAGAAAATGAGTTTAGCTCTGAGGTCGGTAATAAGGAGGCGGCAGTGCTCTCCACACCCCGGAGCGGGACCCAGGGCGGGAGTGTGTGTGGAAGGGAGGCCGTTTGGGGCCGAGGCGAGGGAAAAGAGCACTGACCAGCCTGCCCTGGGGGTCCTGGCGTCCGGCAGGATCAGAGCCCAGGGAGTTGTCGTGTCTGTTAGCGCGTTGAGCTTTGATCTACCAAAACGGGCTTAGTGAGCAAGGCGGGAGTGACATATCACGGTGTTTCTGTTCACGGTGTTCGATGAGCAATCAGGCCTTGGAGCCTCCCTCCATTCATTTGCCGTGCTGGTCGGTGGCACTCCCTCTCTCCAGCTGCACTGTAGCGGACACGTTGCACCCCTGCACATTTTGAAAATGACAAACCTAGCTCTTCGAGGTTCCTGTTTTAGCACATAACCGGAGACTGATGTTAGTGATGTACCTTGACAATCTCTTAAATTTCCAAAGTTTCTTGAATTTCTTTACTTTCCGTTCAGTTCCATCATCTAACTGTCACCGCCTCCTCCTGTCTTGACGTGTCTTAGCTATAGCTATGAAGTTAAGGCACTCCAAAAAAGTGCCGAGTTCTGTTAAGAGATGATTGTGGTACCCTGGGGTCAGGTGTGGGTACGTTCCAGACTTGCTTCTGGGAGTTTCGGGAAGGACGTGAGTGACCCCAGGTATACCCATATTTAAATAAAGTCGGATCACTGGTGAAATAGAAAGTTCTTCCTCACCTTTATCATGCCGCACCTGTTAGTCACTTTCTAGCCGTCTCTTGCCTTTTTTTTTCTTTTCCTTTTTCTTTCGTAGGTTGTAGAGACCCAAACTATTTTCACATGCAAATAAATAACATGTCTAGTATAATCAACTAGAGTTTACATTTATAGGATTTGTCTGTATATCTAAAAACTTATACAAGTGTGAATCCTTTCTTGAATATTTGCAACACTTAGATCTGCAGCTCTTAAGACATTTCTGACTTTAAGTTAATTTTTGCTTTTTATTTTGTTTAAGCTTTTCGAGAGTTTGTTGTGAGAAGTTTAGATGTAATTTACATATTAGCGAGACTTCTAAGGCTTTTCACATTGTTATATAGAATTATGTGCAAATATTGACCAGCAGTCAGCGTAATGGCTGTGCCGCTGAACTCCCATGTAGTCGATTGCGGTTCGAGTCCTGGACCCCGTGGCTTAAACTAACATTGGTAGCATGTCTGTGCATGCCCAAGATCCCGAGAGGAGAATGGAGGAGAAGGGATTGCAGTGTGGCCATCCCTGAGGGTGGGGGGGTGAGGGGTGAGGGGGTGATTTCTCGTTTTCTGTTTGTTGTCTCTCTGCCTTTTTTTTTTTTTTTTCCTTTTTTTGTAGAGATTTTTGCTATAGGGCACGTGCGCTCGCCCGACAGACAGAGAGAGAGAGACAGAAAGCGAGAAATTACCCCCCAGGGGGGATGGCCATGCCGCAATCCCTTCTCCTCCATTCTCCTCTCAGGATCTTGGGCACGCACGCACACGCACCTGGCGTGTGTTTTAAGCCACCGCATCCGGGACGCGAACCACGGTCGAATACATGGGTGTCCAGCGACATAGCCATTACGCTAACTGCTGGTCCCTGCCTCTGTCTTTCTGGCAAGCGTACTCGCCCTATAATAAAAACCTCTCCAAGAAAAAAAAGTGCTGTATCAGTGATGTATAATGTAACTACATTTAGTTAAGAATGTATCCAATATCAAATGGCATATTTCAGCAATATAAAACTGCAATTTCTTTTGTATCAACCTAATATTTTTGTCAACTTATCAGAACTATCAAAAGTAAACCAGGGCCAGCCAGTGGAGTGGTGGTGAAGGTGGCTGATCCCATATAGCCTAATGAGCACCGTGGACTGGCAGCATGAAAAACATGCTAGGTGTTGGGACCAGCAGATGGTGTAATGGTTACATCGCTGGTCTCCCATGGTGTCAACCGCAGTTTAAGTCACCGACCTGGTAGCTTAAAACTCCCCCAGGGCATGTGTGCATGTCTGACCAAAATCCTGAGAGGAGAATGGAAGAGAAAGGATTGCGGCATGGCCATCTCCACTGGGGGAAGGGAGGATTTCTCACTTTCTGTCTTTCTGGCAAGCAAAAATCGCTTTTAAAAATAAGAGAGTAAAACATGCTAGGTGTGATGCATAAGTGCCCAATTTCCCAAGAAGAGAATGGATAAGAAGGAATTGTGGCATGGCCGTCCCCCTGATTTCTCACTTTCCTTTTCTCCCCCTATATCTGTCAGACCAGGGCATGCACCCTTGAACAAAACAAAAACCAAAAACCAAAAAACAAAACAAAAGAAAAAAGTAAACCAAATATATACGTATCATGATTAAGAATTTTAATTTTGGAGGGTTTAAAATTTTCCTTTAAACACTTGTGGAATGATATAAATGGTAAATATGGATGCTGTGTTTTTCAATTGGCGATTTTGACATAAAAGTAGTGTTTCTTATTCACAGTTTATGTTTCTTCCATAGTAATATTAGTGGGATTAAATGCAAAGCTAGGAAGAGGGAGTTTGGTCATCATTTCTTTTAGCAATAATCTGTAACACACTAGTTTGGGAACCATCAAATTTATGGCAGTGTAGACTATGGAATAAACAGCATTTGACTTCTACAGGGAAATTTTTTTTATCTTCAAAACAGTTTTTTTTTTTTTTTAATTTAGAAAATCATTCATCAGTCAATTTGCACAACAGTAGTGTTAAAGTGTACTAAAGACTTTTTATTTCATAGAGGAGAACTTGTAGTAGACAAAACAAAGAGGAAAAAAAGAAGAGAACTTTCTGAAGAACAGAAACAAGAAATTAAAGATGCTTTTGAACTCTTCGATACGGACAAAGATGAAGCAATAGATTATCATGAATTGAAGGTAATAGTATACTTTAAAATTTAAAACGTGTATTTAAAATACATAGTTCTCTGTTTAAGTGATTTGCATTTTTGACAGTTGCTTTAAAATACATTTCTATAATTATTTTAACTAAACTGGTTTGGAATGATGAAGCCATTTTAAACATTCTCAGTGAGGTGCTATAATAAAACTGAATAGCACCCCTAACATAGCTTTTAGAAAATCTTTTTACCTGCTAAAATGAATAGGCTTTCAAATGTGAAAATACATTCCTGTCGGAGGTGTTTATTTTTCATTCATACAATTGAAAGCTTTCAATCTATGGCATTTAAACTGTTTTTACCTTATTCCTACTTTTTCAGAGTGTTATTTGTCTCTTAATCTTTTAATTTGAACATTTAAAAATACTTATTAATTTTACTTATTATTACTATTTTTAATTTGATATGGAACGCATGTGCTCACCAGAGAGTGACAGAGAGAAAGTAAGAAAACAAGCCACCAGGACAGGGATTTGAACCATGGTTGGCTATGTGGGAGTCCAGTACCTTAATCACCACACAACCTGCTGACCCCTAATTTGAACATTTTAATAAAACAGTTTCAATCTACTTTCTCTGGTGCAAACAATGTAAGTGATGTCTCATGTTGACAAAAACTTATGGGAAAAATGTCAACCTTAAGACCTAGAATTTATAAAGATTTAAGGGAAAATTGGTGTTTAGTGCTGTACGGATCTTATATTCAGCATAGTGAGAAAGATAGCATTTTGAGATGTTTTACTTGTTTTAACAGATAGGTAAATATAAATGTTTATTTGGTTGTTTTTATTTTGGTAACTGTAAGGTTTTGTTTTTATTATTATTCTTATTCTTTTTAAAATTTGCTATAGAGAATGTGTACTCATGAGAGAGAGACTGAGAAAGCAAGCTGCCAGGTTTGCAATTCGAACTATGGTTGGCTATGTGGGAGTCGAACACCTTAACTGCCACGCCACCATGCTGGCCCACGTAAGGGATTTTTAAGTGTTAGTGGGCATAGTCATACTACATCCCTTTCCTCCATGTCTCTTTCCTATTAGTATTTTAGGCACTAATGTACATGTGCCCTGTGTGTTTTTCAGGGTGCCATCGTGGTTGGCCATGTGAGGTCTGGGTTCGTATACATAGAGCTTTGCCACTGTGCTATGGGCCTGGCCCACCCAGTGTTTTTTGGTTACCCAGATTTGACCAATTTTTCATTTATAATGTCTATTCCATTTATTGCCATTGACTGTCTTGGTTTGGGGCCTCTCTTCACACCTGGAGCTTCCTAAATAGTTTCTTTTTTTTTTTTTTTTGGAGAGATTTTCACTGTAGGGCGTGTGCGCTCGCCAGACAGACAGAGAGAGACATAGAGACAGAAAGCGAGAAATCACCCCCCAGGGGGGATGGTCACACCGCAATCCCTTCTCCTCTATTCTCCTCTCGGAATCTTGGGCACGCACGCACACGCGCCCGGCGTGAGTTTTAAGCCACCGGGTCCGGGACACGAACCGCGGTCGACTACGTGGGAGTCCAGCGACATAGCCATTACGCTAACTGCTGGTTCCCCTAAATAGTTTCTTCACTTCTAGTTTATCTTGTACACTACCACTAGATTTATTTATTTAATTTTTTTTTTTTTTCTTTTTTTGGAGAGGTTTTTGCTGTAGGGTGCGTGCGCTTGCCAGAAAGACAGAAAAAGACAGAAAGCGAGAAATCAACCCCCAGGGAGGATAGCCATGCTGCAATCCCTTCTCCTCCATTTTCTTCTCGGGATCTTCGACACACAAACATACGCCCGGCATGGGTTTAATCCACTGGGTCCAGGACTTGAACCACGTTCGACTACATGGGAGTCCAGCGACATAGCCATTACACTAACTGCTGGTCCCACTAGATTAGATTTTTCTAAAATTCTTTCACTCTATTGTTCAGTGCTCATAACATTTTACCAACTCCTTATCGCATACTATATCAAGTTCAGATTTCTTCCCTTATTAAATGCTGTCTACGTTTTTATTACCATCTACTTTTCTCATTTGTCTTCTTTCATATGAACTCTTCCCATTCAGGGCGGGTAAACTGTTTGTTCACTGTCCCCCAAACCTATTCTTTGTTTTTGTGTCTGTTTTAATACCTGTTATCCTTTCTATTTTCTTTTTGCTATACAGCAGTGTGGTCACTGGTGACACAAAGTGAGAAACCACCCCCGAAGGGATGGCCACGCTGCAGTCTCTTCTCCTCCATTCTCCTCTTGAAATTCTGGGCACGCACACACATGTGCCTGGGTATGTGTTTCAAGCCGCTGGATTTGGGACTTGAACCAAGGTTGGCCATATGGGAGTCCAATCCCTTAACCATTGTACCACCTGCTGGCCACTCTTTTATCCTTTCTAAATTCCCTGTTATTTCTCCTCATTGACCTATCAAGGAACAACTCAGTTGTCTCCAAATAAGACTTCTTTTAAAAATAACATTTTAACTTTCTTATTACTAATAGCAAAATCTCTTTTTTCCCTCTACACTCAGGGTCCTAGACTACTTACTTGATAACTAGTCATGGTAGGGTCTGATGATAATTCTTATTTTAATGTTTTTATCTCTTCTGTTGTATAACTTTTTATGCCATGCTTTTTTCATTTTAGTTGCTAATCCTTTGAGAACAAATGAATTGTTATAATTATCTGTGCATTAAATCAATGCATTGTGTATTGTGTTGTAAATTGTTTTTGATTGGTTTGTCATAAAAATGCAATATATAAGTGAAAATTTTATATTTCAGTAGTGAAGAGTATATTGTTATTTTAGAGATGTAAAATATGTAAACAAGTTATGTTTTATTAATGTGTTGTCATCATTTAAGATACAAAAAATTAAGAACTGGAAGTTGCTTCTTTTGTAAAGAGTGTCTTATAATTTGCTTTTCTCTTTTAATCCAAAAGGTGGCAATGAGAGCCTTGGGGTTTGATGTCAAAAAAGCCGATGTACTGAAGATTCTTAAAGATTATGACAGAGAAGCCACAGGGAAAATCACCTTTGAAGATTTTAATGAAGTTGGTGTGTATTTTAATAATCCTCATAATCAGCAATTGTTAGGAAATTATCTGGTTAATATTAATATTTAAAAAAAATTCTCTGGGTTATAGAATATGGTTATTGACTATTACTGGTATATAGTGGGCTCTCATTCAGGGTTTTTTGTACCTTTTCCCCCCTCTGATTTAAAAAAAGAAAAATTTACAGCTTCTCTATGAAATATATAATTTTGTCTTTTGTTTCGTGCTGAAGATTCTAACCAAAGAGCTACTGTACAGCTTTTTATGGAAAGAAATTTTTCTAAATAATGTATATTTATATTACATGGCAAAACTAAAAGAGAGACCAAAAAATTATTTTTTTTCAGTGAAACAGAAAATTCAGAATCCTGCTATTTGGAAAATATTTCTAAAGACCTTTCTGTTGTGTGATTTTTGTTGGCAAAGTAGAAGGGGAAGCTGGAAGCAGTTTGTGTGTTTGGCTGTAGATGTGTCACATGCCTTCAGGTTGACAGAGTTTGTGAGAGGTTACATACTCTTGATGACCTCAGTCTCAGTGAATAGTCATCTCTTTGGAGTTGGGGGAAAGGCTTACAGTCAGGGAGGCAGACTGCAAGTGGAAGAAAACATTTTAGGACTACAACTGCATAGGCTTAATATAGTTAAATTTTTGTATTGTAGATTTCCTTGAATCTTTTAAAGTACATATATCAAGCTTTTTCAGAACAGAAGATTCTGGAAGGAAAGGACTTTTCTAGTGTAACTTAAGTATATTACATAATATATTATAGGTAGAATAGGTAGAATGTATAAATATTCAAGTTTATTTTTATTAAGTTTTTCAAAAAACTAATGGTATCACTATATGGGTCATGATATAAGCATATCGTATAATAATTATTTTTTTTAGTTTTTGTTTGTGTGTTTGTTTTTGTTTTTGATGTAGGGTGTTTGTGTTTGCTGAGAGAGAAGGCAAGTGAGAAATCACCTCCCAGAGGGGTTTGCCATGCCCATTCCCTTCTCCTTTCTCCTCCTGAGATTTTGGGCATGCATGGTTTTCAAGCCACAGGGCCTGGGACTCAAACCATGAAGTCTACCATGTGGAATCCAGCTGCCTTAACCTCCTTGTCACCTGCTGACCCACATATAGTTATTTTTAAATATTAAAAAAATTTGGAGGGCTGGCAGGTGGCCTGGTGTTTGGCGTGCTGGACTCTCATATGGCTGACTGGTTTCACGGACCTGGTGACTTGCTTTCTCACTTTCTCTGTGTGGTCAAATTTAAGAAAAAATAAAAAGATAAGAATAAAGTTAAATAATTTTAAAAAAAATATTAGAAACAACTTTAGTTTTATAGACACAAAAAGCCCTTATTTTGAATATTTGGCAAGAAGCAATAAGGAAGACAAAAAGAAATGCAATTAGTGAGCACAAAGTAAACAGACTCATATTGTTAGTCTTTTTTTTCTCCCAATCTGAAAGCTGAAATCAAAAGCAGGGGAGGTAAACAATATAAGGGAGAGAAACCACAGCATAGAAGATTGCCAACTTATGGAACTAGCAGGTGGTTATAATGGTTAGGTTGCTCAACTACCATGTAGTCAACTGCTGTTGACTTAGTGGCTTAAAACTCACACTGGGGCTGTGTGCCTAGTTCCCAAAATCCCAAGAGGAGGTTGGAGGAGAAGGGATTGCAGCATGGCTATCCCCTCTGCAGGGTGATTTCTCACTTTCTGTCTCTCTGTCTCTCTTTCTCTCTGGTGAGTGCACACACCCTTAGCAAAAATCTCTCTCAGGAAAAAGAAAAAGGGGGTGCCAGCAGGTGGTACAGTGTTTAAGGGTACCAGACTTCCACATGGCCGACTGTGGTTTGAGTCCTGGACCTGGAGGCTTGCTTTCTCACTTTCCCTCTCTCTTGTTCTGTCTTTCATTCTGTCCCTCTCTGGTCAAATTAAAATAAATAAAGAAAGAAAGTAAATAAAGTTTAATAAAATTATTCTTAAAAAAATAAAAAGATCCCAAATTTATGAATTAATAGAGCTATTTGGAGAGGTAACTTGTCCCTTTTGGGAGCATAGTCTCTCCCTCTAAGTTGTAGAATTATTTATTTAAAGAGAGAGAATCACCTTTATTCTCTCAATGTGGACATTTTCTTGGGATTTATGATCGTAGTATTTTGAGTTTCATCTTAGATTGTTTATTTATAGAAACAGGGTGTTAGGACATAGTAGCAGTGTTATGTTAGGAATGAGTATAATCAGGGATTTTTAATACAATGTAGTGGTTTAGAAAGGACTACCTGGGATCCTGATTCCCTGGGTTCACATCTTGGTTTGGGTTGTGTAAGTTGGTTGTTTTACTTTGCTATGCCTTATTTTCAATGATAAAATGAGCATTGCTGTATTATCTCATAGGGTTTTTGTGAAAATTAAATTATAATACGTGAAGTGCTTAGAAAAGGGTCTACCATATAGTAAGCTCTTAAGAGTTTCCTGTTCTTATTACTTTAAAAAATAGTCTTTGGTGGACCTGTTGGCGGTGTGATGGTTAAGGTGGCTGGATCCCACATGGCTGACCATGTAGTTCCAGTCCTGGGCCCAGCGGCTTGAAAAACATGCCTGGGGCCAGCAGGTGGTGTGGTGGCTAAGGTACTAGATTTCCACATTGCTGACCATGGTTTGAGTCCTGGATTTGGCAGCTTGCTTTCTCACTTTCTCTCATGTTCTCTCTCTGTCTCTAGTGAGTGCACGTGCCTGCGAATTATAGAAAACAAAAACAATAATGATAAATACAATAAAATAAATAGTTCTTTTAAAAATAGTATTTATTGAGACCAGCAGTTGGTGTAATGGCTACATTCCTGGACTCCCATGTGGTTGACCGTGTTTCGAGTCCTGGACCCAGTGGCTTAAACTCACACCGGGCGTGCATGCGTGCGTGCCCAAGATCCCAAGAGGAGAATGGAGGAGAAGGGATTGCAACGTGGCTACCCCCCCGGGGGGGGGGATTTTTGTGGTTTGGCTTTCTGTCTTTCTGTCTCTGTCTTTCTGGCGAGTACATGTGCCCTATAGCAAAAAATCTCTCAAAAATATTTATTAATTATTTTTAAAGAATTATGTATTTAATTTTACTTATTCATTCATTTATTTTAATTTGGCCAGAGAGAGAAAGAAAATGAGAAAGCAAGGCACCATGTCTGGGACTTGAACTGTGGTGGGCTATGTGGGAGTGTCCAGAGCTTCAATCACCATACTACCCTGCTGGCCCCCAAAAAATAATTCTTAAAACAAAAACAAAAACATGCCTGTGTGCCCAAAATCTGAAGAAGAATTGCCTGGGTATCTCCCTGGGGGTGAGGGAGTGTCTGTTTCTTTGGTGCACAGACCCTATAGCACAGTTAAAGCACTGTATCATTTATTACAGTGACTGGAGGTAATCACATATGCATCACTGGGACATTTTTAAATCGTGCCTTTTATTAGCAGCGAGATCGGAGTCCACTGCTACCCCATCTATCTTTTTCTGATGCCTCATCTTTTCTCTGTTACTAACAGCACAGAAGTACTGAGTTTCTTCTAAACTACATAGTTACGGCTACACTTCAACTTTGACTCTCAAAGATCATCCTTTTGATGGGCTCAACACATACTCGACACAGCTTACGGCTGCCTGCTGAGTGCCAGCTGTCAAATAGAATTTAGTACTTTCTGTGAAGTTACAGTTTTCCTCATTTGTTGATTACTTTTAGTAACTGATCTTACATTAATATATAACTTATATTTTGGGACAAGTGACTTTAAATCAGAACATCTGAGTCTTAATTTTATGTATCATTTATTCCTGCCTGAGGATACTGTCCCATCGATATTTCTAGATGAAGTCTGGCACTAAACTGGATTCTTCCCAGTGGTAGATCAAAGCATTAAAATATTCTTAAAGTACGTTGAGAATCAGGGCAGCCCGAGGCTAGTGAGTAACGTAGATGGTTTAGGAATTGCTGCCCTTTCAGGTAAGACCAAGTAAGTCAGATGTTTGTACTCCCACCTTTTTATGGCAGGTACTACTTGCTACTTCATTGCCTATTTAGGATAATATCTGTATTGTTTTTATTTTGCTTATTTAACAAACGTTGAGTTTTTTGGCATTAGGTGATGTGTACAGGTGAGGAAGGGAATTAATTATGTCACTAAGAGGGTCTTTCAAGGAGTTTACAATTTAAATATAGGTGACAACAAACTGTGGTACTGTGTGGTAAATTATCATTTTGTCTAGGGCAGGAGTCTTCAAACTGTAGCCCGTGGGCCACCTCGGGCTGTTGTCCATGTGCCACAGTCACTATGTGCTGCGTCTGTGTCCCATGGCCGAGCAGATAGCTCAGGCAGAGACTCCTGGCCCCTACAGGTCCTAACATATTTACTGTCTAACATTTTATAGAAAAGATTTGTCGATTTCTGATCTGTAAGAAGTGATGAAGACTTTGTAAAGGCGATTTTTTTTTTTTAAAGAATTATTTTATTCGGGGCTGGTAGGTGGTTGGTGGTTAAGGGCGCCGGACTTCCACATGGTTGACCACAGTTCAAGTCCTGGACCTGGCAGCTTGCTTTCTCACTTTCCCTCTCTCTCTCTCTCACTCTGTCCCTCTCTGGCCAAATTAAAATAAATAAATAAAATCATTCTTTGAAAGTATTATTTTATTCATTATCATTATTATTTTTCCAATTTGACCACAGAACAACAGAGAGAAAGAGAGGGAAAGCAAGAAAGCAAGCCACCAAGTCCTGGATTTAAACCACGGTGGACCACGTGGAAGTTCAGTACCTTAACCACTAATGCCACCTTCCAGTTCCTGTAAAGGTGATTTTTAATTTAGGCCTTTGAGTAAGTGAATAGGAGTGTGTTCCAAGGAGATTTCAGGAGTGGGGAAAAAAGGTATTGAAATTGAGGACGGAAAGGAAAAGGATACATTTAAGAGTGAAACTATCCACTATACTATAGGATCTAATCCCTTTATAAGGTTCAAAAGGATACAGACCTCAAATTTGGGGAACTAGATGTTAATGATGCTTTGGGAGTGGAGGAGGCAGTGACAGCTCTGATAGTGCAAAGTGTTTGGTGTCCAGCGTCATAAATTTGAGGTAACTGTGGTATGCTTGAATAGAAACTTTCAAAAGGTAGAAATAGAATTGAAACCATATTTCTAATTCTACCTTTAGTGATTTTTTAAATTTACTTTTAATGTGGTATTTTTGAACTTTTAAAAACATTTATTTATTTATTTATTTGTTGTAATTTTCAAGGCACCAGGTCTGGGATTTGAACTGCAGTAGGACCATGTGGGAATCCAGTGCCTTAACCACTGTGGCACCTGCTGGCCCTGTTTCTGAATTTTTTAGTGATTTTTATATGTGTTAAGTCTAATTGGTGGTGTACATTTCTGATAGCATAGTTAAATCATTTATAAATAGAGTTATATGGACAGGAATTTGAAGTTCTATGAAATCCACATTAACTGCGTATATGCCATTTGACTCATTTTTATTAAAAAATGTATTTTTTTCTTACTTAAAAAATTTTTTTTTCAGGTTTTTGCCACAAGGTATGCACTCCCACTACAGAGAGACAGAGAGAGAGAAAGTAAGAAATCTTCCCCCCCCGGGGGGGGATGGCCACACCACTTCCCTTCTCTTCCATTCTCTTCCTGGGATTTTGGGGACACAAACACACGCACCCAGAATAATTTCAGGTTGCCAGGTCTGGGACTCAAACCATGGACAGCCATGTAGGAGTCTAGAGCCTTAACCACCATGCCACCTGCAGGTACCTCAGCCTCTCCAAAATATACTTACTACAATTGTGCCTTATAGACCAGGAATAGAATGTGAAGGCATGAAGGGGAGGTCTGCATGAAGTTTCATACTAGGTAATGTTTTAGCTGTCCAAGATTACCCGCTTATATTTCTAAAGAAAAGCTGCATTCTAAGGGAGAATATTGATGAAAGATCGTATACACACATAAGTCTGAAATAACTAGCACAATTAAAGCACCAGTGGGATAAGAATTTATACATGTTGGAGCCCCATCTGTTCCCCAGATCACCCTGTTGCTTCTTTAAGTACATTAATACTTTCAGCAAGCTGCTTTTTTGGTTCACCTGTCATGTAAATTATTTAATTGGTGAAGAAAATTTCTTAACACTTTTTTTCCTTGTCCTGTTTTTTTGTTGGGACTAAATTCAAAATAAGTTGAGTATGAGCCATAGAGTGAAGTGTGGTATTTTATTTTGGTGTTATGGCTGTATAGATGCCAACTCCTTTTTGACTGAATATTTATGAGTTTTGATGATTTGCATACTTATAGTAATATACTTCAATTAGTTACTTGGAAGCCTTTTTGGATATAATTAATGGATAAAAGAGAACTATAGAATATATGTGTAGATAGTAAGACCTTAGAAATAACATTAGATTGAATAGGTGCTTATTCAACCAAATAGTGATGGAATAGCATCAAAACAAACACTTGTTGGGGATTTAGATGGCATTGTTTCATTTTTGAGTTCATTAAATGTTCTAATGCTTCCAACTCTTAAGCAGTTGCAAACTTTAATGATTCTGTAGACTTCAGGACTGTTATTTTAATGGCAGAGTGAAAGTTATAAATACCTTTCTTTTTGTGTAAAATAGCATGTAGAATTACTTCAGATATTTTCAGTATCTTATCTGAAAATTTTATACCACTGATTTTTACTTTTGTTTTTCTTATTGTTGCTTTGGATTAAAGACCGATAATTTTGAAGATATTTAAACTTACTACATTGTCATGTATGTGGCTTTAGTCTATTACATATACTATGCTATTGTTATTGACATCTGGAATTACACTTGTTTTTAATTAGTTGTTTGGAAGTTATTGTGTGAATGAAATTGATAGGAGTTTTAAGAGACCTCCTTTGCAGATTGTTTTTCTAAGGGATTTTCTTACTGCAGATTCAGTTCTTTTAACTACTTTCCACATTTTGAAAGATCACATGGTCTTCTAATTATAAAGGTATCAGTGGGATTTTCACCTACTGTCTGCCTTGTACCTTTTTCAGTGATAACAGTGCTTTTTGTTAACTTCTCAGGTTTTGTCATTTGTTTTTAAGTTAGGTTAATTCTTAGAAAGAATCATTGTTAATACTGAGCTTAGCTAGTGAGCAACTTATGTTAGGTAAGCCCTTATTGGTTTGTTGGTATGTCTCCCCACAGTTTGGTCACAAACTCCTAGACTCAAGTGCTTGATGTCAGTGACGCCTGTAACTTTTGATGGTAGTAGACCTTAAGTAAATATGATGTAAATATATCCATTTTTATTTTGCTTCTGTGTGATACAGTTTTGTTTGCTCTTAAATTAAGAATAGTTTTAGGGGCGTGGTGGCGCCCGCCCTATGGCAAGAATAGTTTTTTTTCTTAAAGAGAGATTTTTGCTATAGGGCATGTGTGCTCACCAGAGAGAGAGAGAGAGACAGAGACATAAAGCAGGAAATCATCTTCCAGGGGGCTGACCATGCCACAGTCTCTTCTCTTCTATTCTCCTCTTGGGATCTTGGGCACACATACACATGTGCCAGGTGTGAGTTTTTAGTCGACGGTCTGGGACCTGAACTGCTGTCAATTATGTGAGAGTCCAGTGATGTAACTCTTACACCATCTGCTGGTCCCAAAATAAGAATAATTTGATAATAAGTTAACATTTAAAACATAAATTTGGATTTATCTCTTTGTGTTTTTGGGATCTAATGTGACATTTTATTATCAGGCTAAATGTTGAACAGATTTGTCACTTTTATTCTCATCTAATATTTATTTGATTTCGCAAATGAATTTCTCTGTGATTATGCAAGTTTTTTTTTTTTTTTTTAACTTTAGTGACAGACTGGATATTGGAACGAGATCCGCACGAAGAAATACTGAAGGCATTTAAACTATTTGATGATGATGATTCAGGTAAAATAAGCTTGAGGAATTTGCGACGTGTTGCCAGAGAATTGGGTGAAAACATGAGTGATGAAGAACTTCGAGCTATGATAGAAGAATTTGATAAAGATGGTGATGGAGAAAGTAAGTTTTGAGTAAAACATTTTCTAAGTATCCTGGGTGCTATACATAACAGTAATTTTTTCTAAAACCAAGTGACACTTAAGACCATTGCAAACTATTGCTTTAAGAAGGCACTTTATTTTTTCAAGATGGAACATTACCACAATTTCAACCGCTTGGTCAAATTTCAGTCTTTAAGGCTTTTTCTCTTAACCTGCATGGACTTTCTAAGTTCTGGGTTTGGCAGGTGGTGTGGTGGTTACGATGCTGGGCTTCCACACAGTTTACCGTGGTTTGAGTCCTGGACCTGGTGGCTTGTTTTCTTATTTTTTTTCTCTCTCTCTCTGGTCAATTTAATAATAATAATAATAATGATAATGATAATAATAAAATTATTAATAATGAATAAAATTAAATAACAGCATTCTTTAATTAAAAATTAAAAGAAAGAAATTATTGCTAAGCTCTATTGATTCTACCCTATAAATGTTTTTTTATCTTTTTTTTCTTTGTCCGCTGCTAGTGTCCTAGTTCAGGCCCTAATTTCTTCTTCTTTTTTTTTTTTTTTTTTTTTGGGTTTAGAGGTTTTCGCTATAGGGCGCGTGCGCTCACCAGACAGACAGAGAGAGACAGAGAGACAGAAAACGAGAAATCACCCGCCAGGAGGGATGGTCACACCGCAATCCCTTCTCCTCCATTCTCCTCTCAGGATCTTGGGCATGCACACACACACACACCCGGTGTGAGTTCTAAGCCACTGGGTCCAGGACGTGAACTGCGGTCGACTACATGGGAATCCAGTGACTTAGCCATTAGGCTAACTTTTGATGGTAGTAGACCTTAAGTAAATATGATGTAAATATATCCATTTTTATTTTGCTTCTGTGTGATACAGTTTTGTTTGCTCTTAAAATAAGAATAGTTTTAGGGGCGTGGTGGCACCCTAATTTCTTCTAAAGAATGTTATTGAAAGCTCATTTATTCTTTCCTTGGCTGCCTGCTGGGTATAGTGTCCTGCGTGCTGACTGGTGCCACACAGTGCAAAGGGCGGATATGGTTCCTCCCCTTGCTTGAGTCTTATAGTCTCTTTTAAAAAATACTTTTTATTTATTTAATTTATGATTATTGTTATTTTAATTTAGTATAGGAAATGTGTGCTCACAAGAGAGAGACGGGGTTGGGGTAGGGAGAAGAGTGAGAAATCAAGCCATTTGAATTATGGTCGGCCATGTGGGAGTCCAGCACCTTAAGCACCATGCCACCTGCTGGCCCTGTCTTGTAGCCTCTTAATCGACCTCTGGGCCTGTAAATCTCTAATCTCTTTTTGAGTCTATTGATGGAATTCTTGTCCTAAAATACAGGTTTGATTATATAATTTACATGTCCAAATATTTAGAATGATTCTTCACTCTTTACAGAGTAAAGTTTAAAGGCAATTATGATCTGTCCCACCTTAAGTAACTAATTTATTTTCCACTGTATCCTTTCATTTTTCTACTTTTAACTTTCACCTACTTTATGTACACATTCTGACAAAATATTCTCTGTGGTGCAAACATGTTTTTATGCTGTGCCTTTTGTCATGCTGTTCCTTAATCTTACAATGCTCTAATTGCAGATTTCTGTCTGCTAAAATGTTATTCTTTCTCCAAGTACATTTTAAACACCAACTCTTTCTAAAAAGCCTTCCCTAATGGTCTCTGTAGGAATTATAAGACTTCCATTGAGGGCCCGTAGCATTTAGAGGAACAAATTGTTTTGATACTTTCATACACTTAATATGGATTCTTTTGGCTGCAAATCCAAGTTATGTTTAGAGAAAGAAACTGCTTTCTTTGTATGTTACAGACTGCTAAAGATTATAATACTTTACTGCCCTTTCTGTGGACTTTAGTAATTCTTCTGTCTTCATGATTTGTTTTAATGCTGTTCAGAATCTAAAAGCAATGAAAAAAATATTTTTAATTGTATATGTAGAATAGCATGGTGTATATGAAGTTAAAGATAAATAAGATAAATATAGGATTTACAGAAAGCTGTGGTGATAAAGGAAGAACTACACACTCTCCTCCTCACCACCTAAGATAACAAAATAAAACCTGGGAGCTGGCAGGTGGCATGGTGGTTAAGGGCTCTGGACTCCCATGTGGCCAACTGTGGTTTAAGTCCTCGACCCGACAGGTTGCTTTCTCACTTTCCCTCTTTTTCACTCTGTCCCTCTCTGGTCAAATTAAAAATAAATAAAGTTAAATAAAATAGTTCTTTAAAAACAGAAGCAACACAGTACTATTTTTTGGGAAAATTGGAAACAATATTTAAAAAGCCACAATAGACTATCTTGAATAATAATGATGATTGTTGAAATTTATTTAGCAGTTACTATATTTTAGATATGTGCTTAGCATGTGAATTATGTCATTTAATTTTCATAGTGCTTTTGTGAAGTAGATACAGTATACCTATACAGATATAAGAGGTAAGATGTACAGATAAGGGGACCAGCAGGTGGCATGGTGGTTAGGGTGCTGGACACTCCCATGTGGTTAACTATGGTTCGAGTCCTGGACCTGGTGACTTGCTTTCTCACTTTCCCTCTCTCTCTCTCTGGTCAAATTAAAATAAATTAATGAATAAATATAATTAAATAAATAATTTGGAAAAAAAAAAAGATGTGCAGATGAGGAAACCAAAGCTTTGAGAGTTTAATAACCTGGTCGAGACTGTCACAAAGCAGAGCCCGACCTCAAACTCAGATCTGCATAATGACAGTGTGCTTTTAAATATACTGTTGTATATTTAAATATTTTACTGTATGTATACTCTTGGGCTATAACTAAAATGTTAACTAGGACTCTGTATTTATGGAGTTTCAAAAATTCCATGCTATTATAGGAAGCAGTGTGTTAGCATGTGTGTTAGCACATTCAGCTGGTGTTTCTGATACTGAGATTTATTTTTTCCCCTTTGAGGATCCAGGTGGTCTCTAAGGTACTTAATCTACTTAATTCTCTAAAATTCTTATTGTTCTTGAGTTGTAGTAAGATTGAACTTATGAATGGTTGGTTTATGTAAATTTTGTTAAAGAAGGCAATATAGAAGAAGTGGAGTATCATATTTGATTTAATAATTTAAAAAATTATTATTTTTTTTTGCATGCACTTACCAGAGAGAGAGAGAAAGTGAGAAAGCACCCCTTTACCTCAATCAGGGATGGTCAAACCACGATTTTTCTCCATTCCTCCTTCCTCTAGGGATTTTGGGCACGCATGCACTTGTGCTCGGTGTATTTTTCAAGCTCCTGGGTCTGGGACTTGAATTGTGTGGTTGCACATGTGAGATCCAGCCACCTTCACCACCACACCACAGGCTGGCCCTAATAAATGTTTTTTTTTCAAATGCTTATTTTAAGCTAGACATGGCACTAGATTTATCAGATGTAGGAACATGATACACTGCTGTTAGAAAAGGCCGTAACCTCAGTGTACAGATATCACAGATTTTGTCTGAAAGGCTTTCTGGTAGTAAAGTAGCTAGTTTAATGATGTTCCTTAGTCACTTTCTGCTTTCTACCTTTTTGGACTTTATTATGTTTCTTTTTTCTTTTCTTTTCTTTTTCTTTTTCTTTTTCTTTCTTTTTATTTATTTATTTTTTAAGAATTACTTAATTTAAGGGGCTGGCAGGTGGCATGGTGGTTAAGGTGCTGGATTCCCACATGGTTGTCCAATTTGAGTCCCGGACTTGGTGGCTCACTTTCTCACTTTCCCTCTCTCTCTCTGGTCAAATTGAAAAAAAAAAAAAAGATGAATAAAATAAAATAATTCTTTTTAAAATTAGTTAAATTAAATTTATTGTCATTATATTTTCTTTTTTTTATTTTTATTTTTAAATTTTTTTTGGAGAGGTTTTTTTGCTATAGGGCACACGCGCTTGCCAGACAGACAGAGAGAGACATAGAGACAGAAAGCGAGAAATCACCCCTCAGGGGGGATGGTCACGCCGCAATCCCTTCTCCTCCATTCTCCTCTCGGGATCTTGGGCACGCACGCACACGCGCCCGGGGTGAGTTTTAAGCCACCGGGTCCGGGACACGAACCACAGTCGACTACGTAGGAGTCCAGCAACATAGCCATTATGCTAACTGCTGGTTCCCTTTATTTTATTTTTCGAAGTTGACCAGAAAGAGAGAGAAAGAAGGAAAGTTAGAAAGTGAGCTGTCAGGTCCAGGACTCAAACCTCAGTCAGCTATGTGGGAGTTCAGCTGCCTCAATTCCCATGCCACCTGCTGGCCAGGCTTTATTATATTTCTGTGTATAAAATTCTAAAAATAATAGTTTAAAATGCTTTTGAAGTACTATTACATTTTAAAGTGTTTATTATATATAATATAAAAAGTGTTATGTGGTTTTAGAACTGACATATAAAGCCTGCTCTGAAATTTGAGTAGTGAAAATTTACAGATTGGGAAAAGCACTAAATCTTGAAATAACACATAAGTACCTTTCGGATTTTGACTTTTTTTAGGATTAAACTTTTCTAACTTGCTTTTTTAATTGCCAGATGATGTGTACACTTGCTAGAAAGAGAAAGAGACAAAATGTGCGTGTGCAAGAACACACATCCCGAATGGGTGTGCTGAACCAACAATCTTTTTCTTCTTTTTTCAATCCCATCAGGATTTGGGGCATGCTGTGGTTTTTTAAGCTCTGGGGCTGCGTTTTGAACCGTGGTTGGCCATGTGCCATCTGGCTCCATAGTCACAGTGCTTAAACTGCTGTGCGACCACACTGGCCTCTGCCTTTGAGTATTTAATCATGGCTCTGTTACCCTGTTAAGATGATTATAGTGAGATTTTTTCTATGGCTGTTTTCATTTTGTTCTATAAGCTCTTGCTTCCTGTTTTGGTTTAGATGCCTTGGTCTAGATTGCTTAAATCAAGGGCTCTTCACTGAAGGTACACACTGGATAAATTGTTTAAGGATTTCGGGGCCAGCAGGTGGCATACTGTTAAGGTGCTGGACTCCTAGGTGGTTGACCAAGGTTCAAATCCTAGACCTGGTGGTTTGAAACTCATGCCAGGTGTGTATGTGGATGAGCCCAAAATCCTGAGAGGAAATTGGAGAAGAAGGAATTGTGGTGTGGCCATCACCCTTGGAGGATTTCTCGTTTTCTGTGTTTTGTCTCTCTGTTGTGTGCACATGCCACATAGCATAAATCTCTTTAAAAAAAGTTTAAAAATTTCATGTATTTGAACTGTCCTTTTTACTGAAGGGGATAAAGGTCAAAACTTTAATGAGATATTCAAAACCTATCTACTTAACTATAAAGGTTAAAATCACTACTCCTATTTGTATAATCTTTGAAAGTTTTTTTTTTTTAAAGAATTATTTATTTAATTCCATTTGTTGTTTTTATTTTTTTTTACATTTTAATTTGATCACAGAGAGAGAGAGAGAGAGAGGGAAAGCAAGAAAGCAAGCTGGCAGGTCTGGGACTCAAACCGTGTTTGGCCATGTGGGAATCCAGTGCCTTTAACCACCACACCACCTACCAGCCCCTGAAAGGAGTTTAATAGAATTGTAGATTTTATATTCTGTTCTCACGATGTCTTTTATAGTGTCTTGTAGATTTTTTTTTTCCTGGAGAGTTTTTTTCTTTTTTGCTATAGGGTTCGTGCGCTCGCCAGACAGACAGACAGAGAGACAGAAAGTGAGAAATCAGCCCCCAGGGGGGATGGCCACACTGTAATCCCTTCTCCTCCATTCTCCTCTCGGGATCTTTGGCACGCACGCACACGCACCCGGCGTGAGTTTTAAGCCACCGGGTCCGGGACTCAAACCGCGGTCAACTACGTGGGAGTCCAGCGACATAACCATTACGCTAATTGCTGGTCCCGTGTCTTGTAAATTTTTGATACTAAATATATGAGTTCAGTATTCTCTTAACAACTTCTGGACCGCTCATAGCCAAAATAAGTTGTTTTGGCTAGGTAAACACTGTTCTTGTTCTGTAACAGTTTCTCATTGCAGTGTCCCACTTCAGATCTTTTTCCACTTTCTTTTCAAAATGTTATATATATTTAAAAAAATAGTTATTTAATTTACTATTATTATAATTTTTAAATTTGCTATAGGTCATGTGCCCTCACCAGAGAGAATATATATAGAGAGAGGAAAAGTGAGAAAGCAAGCCACCAGGTCCAGGACTTGAAGTCCAGCACCTTAACTACGCCCAAATGCTACATTTTTATAGAAGTATAAAAATATTCTTAAAAAAGGAAAAGTCAAGATTTAATTTTTTCTAAATTTTTCTTATTAGTAATGATTTTTCCATTATGATGGATTTTTTCCTACAATAATATTTGGTCTTGATTTTAATAATCATATTTTGTGTTTCATAGCATTTGTTCTTTGTTCGAGATATAAAACTTGACTAACATTGAAACTGGTTCTCTATGTGGTTTCTGGAATCAGTATATTTCTAAAAATTCCTAATACACATGTTTTAACTTTTTTTTTTTTTGAGAGTTTTTTTTGCTATGGGGCGCATGCGCTCACCAGAAAGACAGAGAGAGACAGAGAACTCACTCCCCAGGGGGGATTACCATGCCACAATTTCTTCTCCTTCATTCTCCTCTCTGAATCTTGGGCACGCAGCACACACTCCCGGCCTGAGTTTAAGCCACCAAGTCCAAGACTTGAACTGCCGTCAACTACATGGGAGTCTGGTGACATAGCCATTACGCCAACTACTGGTCCCATTATCTTAACATTTTTTAATTGGTTAAGTTTTCCTTTTTATTATGAATATTCTCAGATAGAGAAAAAGCATCAGGCCAATATAACTAGACAAGATTCATACGTGAATAGCATCCTACCTCTGCCTAGATCCATAATTAAATGGTACTGTATTTGCTTTTCTATGATGTGTATTTTTTTTTTCAAACTAACCATTTGAAAAACTGTTCCATATATCAAGAACTTAATGCCCAAATATTTTCATGTGCTTCTACTAAGAACAAGGATATTACTTTCCATAACTGTGATACTGTTTATACCTAAGAAAGTTAAGAACATTTGTAATATTTTCTAATATTTTCCTCATCTCAATTTCAGTATATTGTAGAATAGGAACCTTGGTATCTGTTTTGATACATTATGTAAACCTAGTATGGTGTTGGCATTCATCAGGCACTTTAAGTTTGATTCAAGAGAATATTATCATATATTACCATCTAGGGTATTTAGAATTAAGCAACCTAAAACATCATTTCATAGTTTAGTGTTTTCAAATGAAGGAAATGAAATACGCAATTAGTCTATGCACGGCTTTGACTATTGGGTTGACTATTTTTTCACATAGAAAAACATGTCATGACTTCAAAGACAACCTAATAAGAATCTAGGTCACTTTTTTTTTTTTTTTAAGAGGTTTTTGTCTTATGGCTGTGCTTACCAGGGAGAGAGACAGAGACCGTGAGAGAAAAAGTGAGAAGTTACTGCCCAGGTGAGATGGCTACACTGTAAATCCCTTCTTTTCCATCCTCCTCCTGGGATCTTGGGCACGCACGCATGCATGCCTGAAGTGTGTTTCGAGCCACTGGGTCCAGGACTTCAACCGTGTTTGAGTATGTGGGACTCCAACAACATAACTGCCTACGCCACCTGCTGGTCCCTCTAGGTCACTTCTTAATGTAGTGTTCTTTTATCATTATCAAAGTTATATTGATAACTTATATCTTGTTATGGTATGTAGTAAGTCTTGCAGCTTTCAAACTCCTGTTTTATAAAGAAGCATTCCTTCCTGAACATTTCTGTTTGTTGGTGTGTATGTATATTGCTTTTAAAAATCATATTTAATTAAAATTCTCTGATTTCCTGTTGTTTTTCTAGTTGTCATCTTAAACACTATAAATTAGAGGTTTCTACTGTATTTTGTGTATAATTTTGGTATATTAATACTTAGTCTTTCTTTTTTTAAAGAATTATTTTATTGGGACTAGCAGGTGGCATGGGTAAGGGCGCTGGACTTCCACATAGCTGACTGCTTTGAGTTCCAGACTTGGCGGTTTGCTTTCTTACTTTCTCTCTCTCTCCCCTTCTCTGGTCAAATTAAATTAAATAAATAAAGTTAAATAAAATAATTCTAAAAAAATTTATTATTTTGTTTAACTTTTTTTTGTGTGTTTAATTTTGACCAGAGAGGGACAGAGCAAGAGAGACAGAGAGAAAGAGAGAGAGAGAGAGAGAGAGAGAGGGAGAGAACGAGAGAGAGAGAAAGAAAGAAAGCCGCCAGTTCCAGGACTTGAACTGTGGTCAGCCATGTGGGAGTCCAGTGACCTTAACCACTGTGCCACCTGCTGGCCCCAACACTTAGTCTTTATCAATGATTATTTCCTACATTTAGGTCTACATTTTATAGTTGTTATATTACCTTGGTAATTAAGATTAAATTAGTATCTTTTCAAATTGCCATTTCTATCGATCCTTTTGAAAATGGTAATGTGGTTCCAATTATTTTTTTCTTTAAAACAGGCTTTTAAAAGTATAATAATTTAGGGAACCAGCAGTTAGTGTAATGGCTATGTCGCTGGACTCCCACGTAGTTGACCGCGGTTCGTGTCCCGGACCCGGTGGCTTAAAAAACTCACGCCGGGCGCGTGTGCGTGCCTGCCCAAGATCCCGAGAGGAGAATGGAGGAGAAGGGATTGCGGCGTGACCATCCCCCCTGGGGGGTGATTTCTCGCTTTCTGTCTCTATGTCTCTCTCTGTCTGGCGAGCGCACGCGCCCTACAGTGAAAATCTCTCAAAAAAAAAAAAAAAGTATAATAATTTAAAGAATAGCAGCTTGATACTTTTTCTAATTTTAATATAACACGTTTTATAGAATTGTACTAATTTATATACATGGTATATTTATGAAGAAAAGATTTGCTAAGTAAACTAGTAGAATAAAGATTATAAAGAAGGTTATTTAATGACTTGGGAAGTTTTAAAAATCAAGCTTCTTACAGTTCATTAGTAAATGTATACAACTATTGTGACTGTGACTCATTTTTTTCTGGCAACTTACGTAATATGTTTTTTCCTTGGTTATTATTACAGAATATGAATTTATAATGCTTATCATTTATATATTTATGAAGTTCTACTTAATAAACACATTTAACTTTCTAGCAAAAAGCAAAAACCATGTCTTGACTTATTAAGACATTTGTATAATATAAAATTTAAAAAATACTTGCTATGAATGGTAGTTGTATTTTCTGAACAAAGTAATAATATGTATTCATTTCTGACTGTTACGTTTTCTTTCTTACCACAGTAAATCAAGAGGAGTTCATTGCTATTATGACTGGTGACATTTAAATAATTATAAGCATACACAGTAAGAACGGTGCAAGTTTCCATCTTAAATTCTATTTTTGTGTCTGGAGCAACCGCAAAAAAAGAAACCAACTTAGTTTTTTTTCCCCAGAAGGACCAAATATAAGCATCTTATTATTTGTATTTTACTGTTAAGCTTCTTTGTGTGAACAGTGTTGTTAACTACTCTAGTAGTTTAGATTTGTATTTATAATATAGCTTTTATATAAAGTTTTAAAAAATCAAATCATGTAGTACATTCTTTGGAGTTTTTAAATTTAACATTAGTGGTCACTTTTACTTTGGCACACATGTTCTTTAGACTTTCATGAATAAATGCTTATTTTATTAGTATTTTAAAGTTTGATAAATTTTCTGTTGGATTTTAATTCCTCATATTTGTTAACCCTCAGCGTATTTCTTAAATCTTTTCTCTTTACACTTTTAGTACTTTCTGAAACAAAATTTGAAGTACAAGTAGCAGTGAAGTAGCGCATTTTCCCATTACCGAAGATTTCATCTGGTTTGACATTCTGTGTTTCAATACAAGATGACTCAGTACATACCCAGTTTCTCTTTTTAAGAGGCACGTCTTTCAGTTTGGAGGGAGGAAGTATTGTGAATGTAGACCCTTTTATTCTCGTGTATCATGTTCTATAACTCCTTTGGTATCTTAACGTAAGTATGACAGTTAAATCTGAATATTTCCTCCTTAAACTAATTGAATGAAAACAGTTTGAATCATCTAACTTCTTGACAAAGTAAAAGATTAAAATTTGGGAATTTTGATCTGTTAAGGTAATTATCACTCAATTAAACGTCACGATGATAAAAATGGAAAGCCATAAGCCACAGGAATAATTTAAGCCCATGTTTTACCTATACTATAACAGAACATTCTGTCATTCACGAGGAAGCTGTAGAGACAGATTTTCCAGGTATCGATAGGCTCATTTGGCTTGTAGAAGTACACGTAAGGGAGAAAGTAGTGGCTGCGGGAGACAGGTCGTGGATGACTGGCACCTACACTGAGCCTTCACTAATAATTTGGTTAGTTTGGTTCCTGGTGATATGGACTCTCCATGGAATAAGGGTTGTGTTGTCTACTTCAGGGAATTTTCTTTCTTTCTTTCTTTCTTTCTTTCTTTCTCTCTCTCTCTCTCTCTCTCTCTCTCTCTCTCTCTCTCTCTCTCTCTCTCTCTCTCTCTCTCTCTCTCTCTCTCTCTCTCTCTCTCTCTCTCTCTCTCTCTCTCTCTCTCTCTCTCTCTCTCTCTCTCTCTCTCTCTCTCTCTCTCTCTCTTTCTCTCTTTCTCTCTTTCTCTCTTTCTTTCTTTCTTTCTTTCTTTCTTTCTTTTTCAAGTATGCTACAGGACACCCGCACTTGCTGAACAGAGAGAGAGGAAGGAAACATCTTTCAGGAGGAATGGCGACACCATAATCCCTTCATCTCCATTCTCCTTGTGGGATTTTGGGCACACAGGCACTGGCATCTGGTGTATGTTTCAGGCCATCGGGCCAGGACTTGAACCATGCACTTGGTCAGATGATATCCAGCTCACTTAAATACCACACCGCCAGCCGCCCCAGTAATCTTTCTTTAGACCTCTTGTTTTAAATTTACAGTATAAGTGTCCCTAGACACAAGGGACTGATTCCACTGAAAAGTAAACAGTGGAAATTCAAATTTGAAATATTTGGGGAAAGGGAAATTGGCTTTCTGTTAATTGGCAAATGTTCCTGTGGGACTCTGCTTCTGTTGGGATGTGTTATGTTGTGTGTACACCTTGACCAGTCTCTGCTGAGCTTATTCTGAACAGATTCAGAAAAAATGGTAAGATCGTGATTTTTGTTAATTTATCTCAATAAAAGCCCACTGGAACTCCAAAAAAAAAAAAAATTTACAGTATAGTATAATTTGAAATATTGTGAGCTTCCTAGAGTATTAAAAGTTATCCACTAGAAATTTAACAAAAATTTGTTAGGGAGTAATATAAAAGTAGCAACATTTCTTGCAGTTATCTAAAAAAGTTACTGGTTCGCCTAGAGTAAAATTTATTTTAGAACATGAGGAAATCTGTGTTCACAGTAGTGACAATATTCAATAGACTTTGCAATTAAAAAATAGACCAATAGACTTTGCAATTAAAAAAATTTTAGCACTCTTAATAATGAATTTGCCTCTGTCTTGATCATGAAATATATAGTGATTTCCTGAAAAGTAAAGAATAAAACAGATAAAAATAAATCTAGGCTCACTAGTCTTCTACCACTTTAACTCAGGCTGCTTTTTGCTACTTACAGAGATTACTTTTTTCTTTTATCTTTTCTTTTTTTTTTTAAAGATTTTTTGCCATGGGGCATGTTGTCCTCTGGAGAGGAGACAGAGAGAGAGAGAAAGGGAAAGTGAGGATTCACCCCCTGGGGGAATGGCCATAGCACAATCCCTTCTCCATTTTCTGTGTGCCTGGTGTGATTTTTCAAGCCTCTGGGTCTGGGATTGTGGTTGGCCATGTGGGAATCCAGCACCTTAACTACCATGCTACCTGCTGGCCCCTCTTCTTTGTTCTTAGTATAAAAACTTTCTTAGTGGAATAATAAGTGAGAAATCACCCCCCGGGGAGGATGGCCACACTGCAATCTTTTTTCCTCCATTCTCCTCTTGAGATTTTGGGCACACATGCACATGCACCTGGCATGAGTTTTAAGGTACCGGGTCCCGGACTCGAACTATATGGGAGTCCAGCAACATAATCATTACCTCATTTACTGGTCCCACTGCATTGTATTCTTTATCTCCAGAAGTGCTGTTGATTCTTTTTCAGTGTGTGTATCTCCTTAAGGAGTTCCTCCTTCAAGTCATGGAAGCGCTTTCTCATTTCCTGGAATTGGTTGTCTTTTTTCTCTTGCATCTCGGTTTGAGTTTTGTTCTGAATTCTTTTCGTCACACTTCTGTGATTTCTTTTGTGTCGTACCCATTGTTGGTGAGGAGTTATAATCCTTTGAGGGGGAGGTATTTCCTGATTTTCTCCTATTTATTGGGGCTTTGATTATTAGTCATCTGGTGATAGATGTAAACTTCCTACTTCCTTTCAGTGTGTTTCTGTAGCTGCGTGCTTCTCCTTATCTCTATAATATGTGTAAATTCTGTGCCAGTTTCCATTCTCTACTGTGGGTAGAACTGTGGAATCCACAGTAGCAGTTTGGGGTTCAGGTTTTCAGAGGGAAGTTTCCCCCTTTTTCTGCAAAGGGAGTTATGGGAAGAGAATTACTGTACAGAGAAAGAATCTCCTGTTTTCAATTGTTTGGTTCTTGTAGTCCCAAACCTAACCTAATGTGGGTGGAGGTTGAGCCGATAGGATGTGAGGTGGCAGACCACTTCAGTTTCTGGGACTGCAGCGTCTCCCTGTTGCTGCTTTATCTCTGGGACTGCAGGAACTTGGTATTGGTTCTTGAAGGCTCAAGAGCCTTTGCGCCCAATGGCAAAAAATTTCAAAATTACCCTTTTTATTTCTTTTTCAAATGAATGAACCCCTTTAGAAGTGGAGAACTAATGGCTGCTAGGAATCAAGATAAGCTTTTTGAAAATAATCTTTTAAAAACCATTTAACCTTAGTAACTTAGGTAGAAATACAAATTATGAGTTTTATTCTTATTTCAACCAGACATTAAAAATAGCACAATTTATCCAGGCTCCCTAGGAATGTATTTCTTTGAAGTGGATTGGGACACTTGGTTTGTTAACCTATTGAATATACCCCAAAGAAACTAATCTGTGTTCAGAATTTATCCCCAAGCAGTATCCTTTGTACCTGGGTCTGGGTATGCCCAAGACTTCCCTAAAGGCCCTTGTGATCCCAGAACTTCCCCGAGCTGTAGAACTATAGAACTGTAGGCACTCGGCTGATAGGCCAGTAATTCAGATTACGTAAAAACCCAGTTAGAACAATTTATACTTTAACACAACTTTGCAATTCACAAAGTTTTCCCACAAAGTAAAATCCCATTTTTAAAAAGATTTATTTACTTTTAATTTTATTTATCACTGTTCTTCAATTTTGACCAGAAAGACAGACAGAAAGGGAGAGTGAGAAAGCAAGCCGTATGTCTGGGACTTGAACCGTGGTCAGCCATGGGGGAGTCCAGTGTGTCAACCATCATGCCACCTGTTGGCCCCAACAATCCCATTTTTTTAAATAATTATTTTAATTTATTGTTAATTTTAAAAATTTGCTGCAGGACATATGCACTCATCAGAGAGAGAGAGAGCTGCAGGACAACTCATCAGAGAGAGAGAGAGAGAGAGAGAGAGAGAGAGAGAGAGAAGGAAAGTGAGAAAGCAAACCACCAGGTCCAAGACTTGAACTGGAGCTGGTTCAGAGGGAGTCCAGTGCCTTAATCACCATGTCACCTGCTGGCCCCTATTTTTTCCCAACTCAAATGAGGTAATTAGGACAGACTTATAATTTATAGTGTTTTATTTTGTTTTAGTATTTCCCAGTTTTATTCATTTGTTCTTTTAGTGAATTATTTTTATTATTAGTGTTGAAAAACATCCCACTACCTGTTAGGACTTAGACTAACAACAGTTATCTCCCAGTGAGAATGGAATATATGTCTCCCTGAAGCTTAGTTTGGGCCTGTTATTCAGATTTAATTAAATATTTTTAATCTTTGAAAAATTATTATTATTTAAAAATTTGCTATAGGGCACATGTGCTTACCAGAGTAAGACAGAAAGAGAGAGAGAAAGTGAGAAAAGCAAGCTGCCAGGTCTGGGACTCGAACTGTAGTCAGATATATGGGAGTCCAATGCCTTAACTACCATGTAACCTGCTGGCCCCAAATGCTTTTTATAGAAGAAATAAAAAAGATAAGAAAAATGTAAAAGTTGTTTAAAGAATGGTTACATATACCTGTTTGGCAGGGACATTAAATGCATGAACTTTCAGGACAATCCAAATCAAAGATTACTTCTCAGTAGGCCAAACCCCAAACTTTTAACCTGCTGTTAAGTTTAAAGAGGCCCTCCATGGTAGGAAATAAGACTTGGAAATATTTTTATCATGGAGCATTTAGTTCATTATGTTGAGTGGTTATTACTCTACAGAGCCATCCATCAGGAGCAGGCTTACTTTAGTAAGTCGCCAGCACTAATGTTCCACAGAACAGGTTCCCTCGCAGTCGGCCGTACATGGACCTTTTGGAAGATCCCGGGGACAGGCAGTCTGGTAGTGCCATATAGTGCCA